ATAACGACAACCTACCATAACGACAACCTACCATAACCCAAGTACAACAACCTACCATAACGACAACCTACCATAACGACAACCTACCATAACGACAACCTACCATAACGACAACCTACCATAACCAAAGTACGACAACCTACCATAACGACAACCTACCATAACCCAAGTACAACAACCTACCATAGCCCAAGTACAACAACCTACCATAACGACAACCTACCATAACGACAACCTACCATAACCAAAGTACGACAACCTACCATAACGACAACCTACCATAACCCAAGTACAACAACCTACCATAGCCCAAGTACAACAACCTACCATAACGACAACCTACCATAACGACAACCTACCATAACCAAAGTACGACAACCTACCATAACGACAACCTACCATAACCAAAGTACGACAACCTTCCATAACGACAACCTACCATAACCCAAGTACAACAACCTACCATAACAACAACCTACCATAACCCAGTACGACAACCTACCATAACAACAACCTACCATAACAACAACCTACCATAACGACAACCTACCATAACGACAACCTACCATAACCCAAGTACAACAACCTACCATAACCCAAGTACAACAACCTACCATAACAACAACCTACCATAACAACAACCTACCATAACCCAAGTACAACAACCTACCATAACAACAACCTACCATAACCAAAGTACGACAACCTACCATAACAACAACCTACCATAACAACAACCTACCATAACAACAACCTACCATAACAACAACCTACCATAACAACAACCTACCATAACCCAAGTACAACAACCTACCATAACAACAACCTACCATAACAACAACCTACCATAACGACAACCTACCATAACAACAACCTACCATAACCCAAGTACAACAACCTACCATAACAACAACCTACCATAACGACAACCTACCATAACAACAATCTACCATAACCCAAGTACAACAACCTACCATAACAACAACCTACCATAACCCAAGTACAACAACCTACCATAACAACAACCTACCATAACAACAACCTACCATAACGACAACCTACCATAACAACAACCTACCATAAACCAAGTACGACAATCTACCATACAAAAGCTCAAAGCTAGTACGCCTTACGTTTCAATACATAGCTACAGCTGTATAATACAAAATATTTGTATTATACCACCACGTTTGTTACAATAAGTAGCCACACCTATATAAAAGAGATGAGCCCAGTAGCCGTAGGTTGTCGACAGCTGAGCCGAACATCCTATTGCTGGTGGGTGGTCACGTGACGAATGCACGTGCTGATGTTGACTGATGCATCACCAGTGAGCATCTTTACACAGCTCACGTTGAGTGCTGCTATTTGCACATCGAGTGCTCACTCACGGGGGACCCGGCACGAGATTAGCTGCTCACACATGTGCAAGAGGTGCAGCGCGCGTGCGTTAACATTGTTTGAGTACAGGTGGGATTCAATTTGCATATTTGAGACTTTCTAGGTCAACTCAAGCAAGGGGGCGGGGTACTCAGTTCGTTAGAATTAGGACGGATTGTTAGGATACAAACATCCGTCTGTCAATTCATCTCTCCTTCCGTACTTACGTTCGTCTAACCTTTCTTCTATCCGTTCATCCATCCATCCACTTACTCACACTCACCCACCCACCCACTCACACACTCACACACCCATACACACCCATTCACTCACCCACCCACTCACACACCCACTCACACACCCACTCACACACCCACTCACACACCCACTCACCCACTCACACACCCACCCACACACCCACTCACTCACCCACTCACTCACACCCACTCACACACACACACTCACCCACCACCCACCCACCCACACACCTAACCTGTGGGGACATAACAAAACGAACAACTCACCACATAATCCCATAACTTGATTACCCCCACGCGCCTCTACATCTCACCAATCCGTCTAAAATGTCCCACAGGACTTGCCTTCACGTCCTACCCCCACCTACAGGACATGCCGGAAACGCCGGACTCCTAAATAATTACTGCCCTAACCCTAGCACCGCGACCGGAAACGGATTAGCTGTCCGCGTTAATTTAACCGGAGACTCCAAAACTCATTAGGAAGTTCTTGTCATGTGACCAACGCCATCTCTCACGAGGGTTGTTGTCTGGGGTTGACCAATATTTTCTAGACTTTTCTCTCCTGCCTTATATATCAGGGTCAAGTAACTCTCGATATTTTAAAACACTTTCCGTTGCTTCCGAGTTATGTTTGCTTGGTTGTCGGAATTTTAAAAACTAACTTAAATGTTGCTAAGAATGTGATTGTGTTCATTTCTCGTTTTCTACAATGGGCGGGGAGCTGACGACACAATCACTTCCAATACTGAGATCACGGATACAAGTAAACTCTACTTCACCTGTCCTGTCGACCACTTGGTCTGAAACAATATCTCCTCTATGCATGCAACGGTTTTTATGAATTTTATCATGATTGTGTCTTTTCAAATGATGTTGTTTAAATCAAAGTGTCTTTACAATCTAGGCGTCTTTAAAACCGTTGTGTCTGTCTAAGCGATCTTTTGGTTCTTATAAGCTCAATCAATGTTTCTTAACAAGCAAAGTGTCTAAACTATAATTGTGACATAATGTTAACATCTACCATTGCATCGAAAACACACATGTACATAAACACATAGACGAATGTACACATGGGCATAAACACATAGACGAATGTACACATATGCATAAACACATAGACGAATGTACACATGCGCATAAACACATAGACGAATGTACACATATGCATAAACACATAGACGAATGTACACATGCGTATAAACACATAGACGAATGTACACATTATCAGTGTTTCTGCACATTATGTGAACTATTTGTACCGAGTTGACCAGTTCATGAGTTGTGTACACGTGAACAATTGAAAAAGTGTACAGAGGCAGGTGATCGTGGCCGAAACAATTTTTTAAAACAATCCTTTTCAAATGACGATACCGTTCTGAGATAAAATCACGGACAACAAACAAATTAATGGACCAATTGTTTACCACCGATTACTGGCGTGGGGTGGGGTGGAAGGGGGAGGGGGGTCAGCCGGGGTGACTGCTAAAGACAAACTATTTTAACACCAGAACAAACACCGGAAAGATGGCGACTATCAGGATTGAATTGTCCCCCTTAGACCCCCGCTCTCCGACACAATGGGAGAAGAAAAACACACGCAATGTCAACTTTGCGGTATCGATCTAGCCCACCGACGTGTTTGTCCTCGATACTCAAAAAAAAAAAGGTTTTCGCCCAAACAATTTTGTCGTGCAAATCTACAGATAACGGAGATACCAGATTGTCCTGGGCATTATCGATACCGGTATCGACTTGGAAAATACGTTTTATAAAAAAAAATTGTTGATATTCCGAGATCTGTTTTGGTTGCGGATTAAGTCGGGTATTCGATCCGCCCTTCGGCACTTTCCCTCGAACCACCCTTAAACACCATCCCCTCCCCCCCCCCACCTTCACTGACGGTGTCAGATAATACTCAGCACGTGCCGTCCTCTTTCTTTGCGCACCGTTTGTTTGCGCACCGCGCGCACACTAATTAGTTGAAGAAGTTGCTTCCCCTGTCGCGTCGACTCCCCTTATCTCCCCCGTCTCTGTCAGACTCCCCTCCATTTCATTCAAGTTGGTCTCCATTATGGCTACCGGTCTAGGCTACCTGTTTAGGCTACCTATTGTGGCTAGGTGTCTACGCTACATATTCTGGTTATTTGTTTAGACTAACGTACTTACTTTACTTAATCCTAATCACTCCCTGTTGAGTATAGGGCAACAACAAATCTCCGCCATTCCACCCTGTCTTGGGCGAGCCTTTGTTTAGACTACATATTCTAAAAGTAAAAAGTAAATTTCGCTTTTCGAATCTGATGGTCTATGTGACTAGTGAAGTAGAGCTCACCTGTTTCTGTGACCTCGGCATATGAAGTGATAGATTGGTCAGCGATATGCCCACCCGCCTTTACTTTTCCTAACGTGAGTAAGGTACCCATCAGAGCTGGGTGGACTCAGGGAAGTTCTACTGACTTGAACATGGATTCGAACCCGATACTTACGGGTTAACAGTCTATCACGATACCGCTGGACCACGCCCTTCTCTACCTATTCTGGCTACCCCTTTACGCTACCAATTCTGGCTACCCATTTAGGTTACGTATTCTGGCTAGCTTTTTGTGTTACCATACCAGTTATTACTACCATATCTGGCTACCTAATTAAGCTACAATTATGGCTATCTGTTTATGCTACTATTCTATCCATCTATATTGGGCTACCTGCTTAGGCTACCTGATCTGGTTTTACATTCGAGATTTTGTTCTTATAAAAACAATAGGCCCTACATTTTTAGATGCTTATATCCGATTTGGTTTAGGATCAGTACTCAAGTTCAGGATAGGTCTAGCATTACAGGATGAACAATTTTAGGGATAGAGATACTACAGAACCATATTTATTAATTCCGACACACGGTTCTGGCTTTCGACTACTTAAGGCTGACTTCGTCGCCAATCTATTACATTACAGTTACCAAACTTGTCTGTCGTTAATTTTTGGCTAGTAGCTTTAAATATTTTTCGCACGCTGTGGATCTGATTACTGACTCTGTCTAATAACTTAGCTACCCCTGTGGTCTATTTGGTATGGCTGCTAATTGCAAATTTATACTTAATGAGAGTAATGTTTTCTTGGTTGTTTTTTTTTCTACAAAATGTCTTTTGGAAACTTAACATTTAATTATTACAATTTCAGATTGCGAACACATTGTCGAAAGTGAAGGGTTGAATCTAAGGCATCCAAGAAGACCAGTAGCCAGAAACCCGATTCATCTGGTCGATACGGTAGTGTGAAGGACGCCCACCTCGCCGACACGGGTTCGAACCCAAGCGCCGCACCATGAAGCAGCTGATGGCGGCGTCACACGAGTACACCATGACCCCCGTCATGTGCCACCTCCCCTCCCCGACCCCCGCGTTTGACTTCTGCACAGAGGACAAAACCCCCCACTACCTGCACTTCCAGAGCTTCGAAGACACGAGTTCCATCTCCTCGCTCGACGACTGCTTCAGCCCCCACCTAAGCGCCCACCACACCCCCCACCACCCCGCCCCGCCCAGCGAGCTCCCCCTCAAATGTAAGAAAACCAACCGCCACCACGCGGTCAACAACAACAACAATTTCAAGGACGACGAGCAGCCGGACAAGGAGAGTCTGGTCCACCTCTCGCGCGAGGAAAGGCGCAGGCGACGACGCGCCACGCAGAAATACCGCACTGCGCATGCCACGCGGGAGCGGATTCGGGTCGAGGCGTTCAACGTGGCGTTTTCCGACCTCCGGAAATTGCTGCCCACCTTACCGCCGGATAAGAAGTTGTCGAAGATCGAGATCCTACGTCTGGCTATCTGTTACATTTCGTACCTCAACCACGTTCTTGACCTTAGCTAAACGAAAGGGCGGGACCCGCAAGGCTGGACTTTTTTTTCAGCGGTTCCAAAACTAGTGTTCCCTAAACTCCTAGTGCCACTATGAACACTCATGCGACTATAAACACAACTTATTATATGGGAGGCTTTTATCTGTGGAAAAACTCTTTACAATTGTTTACGTCAAAATAACAATTACAATTTATCAACTTAAACTATGTAACATACATTATTATTTATTTATCAATACTTCTGAATGGTTTATCTCAATGGATTCATGAACACAATGACCAAACTTTGTGGAATGCGGTCTAGAGCGTGGCGGCCATTTTCTTGTGTACTACGTCATTCACTTTGCTGAGATGTTTCACTATAAAATTTTAAAAAAATTCATAAAAAACGTTTTAATAACAAGCTTTTATGTAATGATGCATTAAAAAGTAGAAAATAAATTATAGACTACTATTTAAATAACTATAAAGAAAAGCGTGGGTCACTTTAGTATCTATTGGATACCTTTACTAATGTTAAGGAAGACACCCACGCTTTTCTTTATAGTTATTTAAATAGTAGTCTATAATTTATTTTCTACTTTTTAATGCATCATTACATAAAAGCTTGTTATTAAAACGTTTTTTATGAATTTTTTTTCAGTACTTTACATGTTTTATCTACAATAGAGTTACATGACTAAAAACCATTGCGCGCCTACTGAATATCACGTTCAGTAGGCGCGCAATGGTTTTTGAACGCAGCCATTACGTGGTCGTGATGGCGCAGCTATTGATGACGCGTGTGGTGTGGTTGGCTAGACATGCCTACTAATTCGGTCCAAATTTTAATTAATTCATAAAAAATTAATTAGGCATCCAATTAAGTCAAATTTAGTTTCAGATTGCATTGTCTTCATGTCTTGACCCACGTGCCAACTGTGAATCGTATCGGTCAAGTAGAACTGTCCGAATTTTCACTCCTGCGTTTCCGTCAAGACAGACTGACGACAGACAGAGGAAGTGAGTTAAATAAAAGCTTGTAAAAACAAAATCGTGTAGGTTTTGTGAATGTAGTTTGTTATCTGACAAGGATGGAGGCGGCAATAGTAGTTTAGGGTTTGTTTTGGGTTTATCAGATGTTGTTAGAGTTAAGTCTGATCAATACCGCCAGAAATTGTCGCCACATTGCGCGGTGTCAGACAACAGCTGTTAAAAAAAAAAAAAAAAAAAAAAAAAAAAAAGAACGAATCGCGTTAAATTAACACGTTATATTGTAATTGTATATATAATGCAGTTAATTATTTGTTATTATTTTGTTTTTCTTAGAAGTTACTGAAAGTCTCCCGTTTGATTATCTGATGTGTGCCAAATATTTATTATTGAGTACAGTGGAAAATTGAATAATTTAAAAACAATGTATATATATAAGGAGATATATATATATATATATATATATATATATATATATATATATATATATATATATATATATATATATATATATATATATATATATATATATATATACTCTCGCTTTGATTTGTAAGGTATATGAACTACTCACAAAAGCTATCTAAATAGACAGACGGTAGCTCTTGTGTTTTCCTATGATGATTTGTTTTGTTTAGAAAAGTTAAAAATAAAAACAGATACCACAAACTACGATAAAAACATTGTTGCCTTTAAGAACAGCGGAAGTGAATGTATAATTCGCCAATGCCAGATTTTTATAAAAACGTTGGTGCATTTATAATATGTGTTGTAAACACGGCCAATGTATGAGTAGTTTTTATTTGTGTGTGTATTGGGGAAATATATTTGCATGCATGAGAAACTCTTCTTAACATATGGTTGTTATGCCAACGACGACCATCTTGAAAAAAAACCCTTTGGTAGAGGTCTAAAGTTTAGGAAATAAAGTAGTAAAGTTCCCTTTTCAAACCTGGCGGTCTATAAGGCAAATGAAGTAGAGTTTACTTGTTTCTGTGACCATCAGAGCTGGATGGACTCAGGTACGGCCTACTGACTAGAACCCGGATTTTAACTCAAGGTTAAAAACTATGTGTTCATCATATAATCATTGACCCTTTTTACTTTCTCGTATATACGTAGTATAGAGAAAGTATTGTAATCGTGCAAAAAAAAAAAAAATCGAGATTTTTACAAATCTCGACGTTTTACACCTCACTGATACGGAAAAACATAATTTTGCAATCTTGTTTACTAACTCTTATAGAGTACACACAAATAAAAAAAACCAGGAGTGATCTCCCCTAAACTTTCTCGAATATTCTTATATAAAACAACATGGGATGGGAACTCGGGATATAGTTATAATTTTTAATCCATTTTAAATACTTAAACTTTTTAAAATAGAATAGCATCTCATACATAAAAGAATTGCGCACCAAGCGAACGCCAAATAAAGATGTTCCTAATAGTGCGCAATACTATTAGTACTTTATAAATTTACATGCGTTTTTTTTTGAGAAATCGGAAATAGTGTAAATTAGTACTTCCGGTCAACGGAAAATACTCAAACTTTGACCGAAGGTAGAGAATTAGATCTTTTACTCACATGTGAAATTTCATTTATCTATCTGAAATAGTACTCAAGTTATAGGCTTTTGATAAATTCAAAGTAGAAAAAGTACCACTTACGGTTATCGGAAATCGCTCAAAAATTGATAGGGATCTACGATTTTGATAACATACTTATATATGAAATTTCATCAACCTAGCTTTAACGGTACTCAAGTTATCGTGTTTACACACACACACACACACACACACAAACACACACACACAAACACACAGACAAACACACAGACATACGGACGAGATTGCAAAATTATGTTTTTCCGTATCAGTGAGGTGTAAAACGTCGAGATTTGCAAAAATCTCGATTTTTTTTTCACGATTACAAGACCTTCTCTATACTTTGTATATACGAGAAAGTAAAAAGTGTTTTTTTTTTGTAACAGAAAACACTCATAAAAACTTTTTTTTTTAAATTTTCAAATTTTTTTCTTCAGTAAATTTTGCATTAATTTTAAAGGTATTTCACCAAGCCGAATATTGAAGACTGTTCTATCTGGAACTTAAAAAAAAAACAACAACAATAAACAACAATGGGGTTAAACACGGGAAAAGTAAAGACGGCTAGGCATGCTTCGACCCACACTAACCTTTATACGTCGCTTTGGACAGAGAGAGCTGAACTCTACCAGGCTTGAAAGACAACTTTTAAAAACAAGTTAATAAAAAGTCTAGTGACAATTTAAGCGCAATTTCCTTAATTATTTTTTTGTGACCGAACGAAAGAATATTTTTGAAAACTTTCTTCGGCAATATTGTTCTAAATTATGGCAGGAATCAATTGGTAAATGCTTCAAGTCGCTAAGCGGTCTGGTTGCCGAGATATGGGCCAAAAACTGCATTTTTTTCGAGTTTTTTTGGCTTTTCCGGGAAATCCAGGAAGGAGTTCCGGGAATTTTATTTTTGGCCCACAATCATCCTTGGAACTTGCTTAACATATTTGCTTTTGGAACTAGTCCTCGATATTGCTTCGTTGAGGAGGAGATACGACTTAAAGCTGCGGACACACATCCATCCATCCAGAATTTCGAGGTTTTTTGGCTTTTCCGGGAAATCCAGGAAGGAATTCCGGGAATTTTCTGGGCCCACAATCATCCTCGGAACTTGCTTAACATATTTGCTTTTGGAACTAGTCCTCGATATTGCTTCGTTGAGGAGGAGATACGACTTAAAGCTGCGGACACACATCCATCCATCCAGAAATAACGAATTAATAATAGCAATTGCCAGTATGGAAATAGTGCTAAAATATTACTTTGAAGCGGGATAACGTCAGTAGGACAAGGTTTAAAAATGTCTGTACATCTGTTGCGTCACTAGACATCTAATCTCGGTCTAGATCTAGAATTTAGATCCAATAAACAATCCTGCAGATGACATGGGTTCTTGTACGTCCGCGTAAAGGGCTTTTTACGTGTGCTTTTCTTCGGCATCATCTGGTACGCGTCCTTACGGAGTCGGCGAGTAAATACATGAAAGTGTTTAAACGTCTACACAGAGCGAAGGAACTAATGGTGTGCACTGCTCGTACACTCTAGATTTCATTTTTTATAAGATTTTAAAAATATAAAAAAAGAAATCCCTAAGTGAGCCATCCTAGGTAGCTTGTTAGGGGGTCTACAAAATGCGGTGCACTGCCATGAGCCCTTCTCCTGTAAAAGTAGCCCAAAAACACTGTGTGTAGAACTCAACTCTGCGGATGCTACTCCTCGTGCATAGGTCTTCGCATCGACGGCACAATGGCCATGTGTGTTTGATGTGTTGAGCACTGAGAAAATAAATTATGTGCTATCTTCTTAGTTTGGAAGATTTATTTAGTATCTAGAGTGGATTTAAAAACTGTGTTTGAAAACTTGCATGTAGCATGCTTATGCAACATGTCGTTCTTCAAGTCAGTTTCATTTTATCCAGTGTGGTGATGCTAATATTTTTACCTATTGTGTAAGCATTGTTGAAGGTGTCACGACTGATGTGTTGTTTTTAACTTACCATTGTTTTTTATTGACACCTTCAATAGTCATCATAATTATTTCCCTTTTGTGACTAAGACACAAGGGGGCGCCACCGGAAGCTCTTTTTCCTCTTTTAGAAGTCTTTTTCAGAAGAAAAGACTTTTCTAAAAGTCTGCACTTGGTATGGGATGGGGTTTCTTCAACCACCATATTTTTTTGCATGGCTCCAAGGCTTGTTTAGGTTTAGAAGTGTTTTAATATCAGTGGTACGGTCTCCTTCGTAGTTGTCAATGCTGCCTACAAATGTGAAATCTTTTACTGTCTCTGTGTGTGTGGTTTATTTTTTTATAAACTCTTGGTTGGTTAATTTTTTTTCAGAAATTTCAACCTTAATTTTATCCGAAGTGTCACGTGATATGCTTTACCTGGGTGCCAGACGGTACCCACCCTTAACCCCACCGGTAATCAGCCCTAGATTA